AGCAAGTATGTAAGGCACTGAGTTTGATCCTCAGTACCACGTAAAAGTAAATAAATAAAACATATTGTGTACATCTACAATTAAAAATTTTAAAAAAAGAAAAAGAAAAGAAAATGGAAGAGGAAGGAGAGATGAAGAAACTGTAAGCACCTCCTTCAGGATTCTCTGTAAAGAAAAAGAAACAGTTTAGTGGTTGAAAGGAAACAAAGGGACAACAGAGGATCATTCAAGAAGGGAGCTATCAAACTGCAGGGTGAATGCTGGTGAGGACAGTCCACAACACAAGCTGCCCTGGAGTATCACCAGCTACACCTATAGAGGAGGCACAGCTACGATGACTTCTGCAAGCCAAGTGAACTCACTTTTCCTGACAGTTCGTTCACTGAGCACGCAGTGGACACAGCACTAGGTAAACAATACCATCAAAAGACTTAACCTTATCTTTAACATATATTAAAGTGGATAATTCATTTTTAGAGTAAAGTAAAAATTTCACTTTAAAAGGAGCTACACACCAGGAGCAGAGGCAACTATATAATAAATTAATGGTTGTGCTTGATTATAGAAGTATGTGCGCTATGGAAGCACATGGAGGAGTGGCTATTTCAGCTGGGCTCATCAGGGAAGGCTTCTTAGAGGAAGCACTAAGCAGGCCCAAACTGAAGGGCCTAAGACTCAAAAGAGGGCACTCCAGCAGGGAAGAATCAAAAGCATGTAGGACACTATAAGCCAAGTGTGGACTTATGGGGGATACGGAGTAGCCAACAGTGTTATTTTAAGGCAATTAAGTACCACTTGGGAGATTCAGCTGCAATGGGTTAAGGAGAAGCAGAAGAGTGGCCCAACTGTCCAGATACAAGAGGCTATTGATAGACAGGAGACTATCCTGGAGAATGGGGAGAAGGAAGGGTTGAAAGGCCATCTGCATGGAGATTCCTCAGAAAACTTGGAATGGAACTCCCATTTGACTCAGTTATCCCACTCCTCGGCATATACCCAAAAGACTTAAAGTCAGCATATTAGAACAACATGGCCACATCAATGTTTATAGCAGCTCAATTCACAATAACTAAGCTATGGAACAAACCTAGGTTCCCTTCAACACATGAATAAAGAAAGAAAATGTGGTATATATACACAATAGAATATTACTGAGCCTTAAAGACAGTAAAATTATGACATTTGCAGGTAAAGGATGGAGCAAGAGACTATCATGATAAGTGAAATAAGCCAATCCCCCCCAAATCAAAGGCTGAATGTTCTGATATAAGGATCCTAACTCACAATACGGGGTGGGGGAAGGAGTGGAGGCTCACTGGATTGGACAGAGGGAATGGC